ATGCGCAAGGGAAGCGACATCAAGGTCGCACATGTAGTACATTGTAGCACTGAACATCCTGACACAATAGGTTCGCAGGCCTGTTTTCGGTGGCATCTGTGTCTTTCAGCTTTACTTGGTGAAGCTGAATCAGTCTCATGTCTGGCTACCGCAGTGGCACCTTGGGCGGCGTGGAAAAATGCGCATGCCGTGTGAAACATCAATCCGAATCCTCCTCAGCCTCTTCTTTCCCATTTGAACCGCCAGATGTCACACTCTTGACTTTCAATGTCTTTTTCCATGCGGAGATCTCACTGTCAGCCGTCGCCTCTGTGCAAGCCACTAGCTCGTTCTTGTTGGAGGGCATTCGCCGCTCGACCATTGAAAGGCTCTGCCACCAGAAATGAAGGTTCTTGAGTGACTCCAAGGACTGATTGACATTGCGTAGTTGAGACGACAAGGCCTCAAATTCCATGATCCCCGTGAAAAAGGAGATGAAAGACACCAGGACTGGTATCCAAGCTTCGTAGCCGAGAGGAGTTGCAGCCGCCATTGCTGCGGTCAGAAAGTAGGTCAAGACTTGAAGAACCAGCACTTTCCTTGAAAGGTCGCGGCTGCGCCAAGAGTAGTACTGAAGCATGGGCAAAAATCGGAAATGGATGTAGTCCTCGGCCGTCACTAGAGATGTTCCATCATCATTCAAATAGTCGTCATCAATTGCAAAGGGGTTTGGGTGGAAATCGCTGCCAGCCTGGTTCCATGGGCCGTCCTCAATGTTCTCAAGATCCAGAACCTTCGCAGAAGGACGTCTGCAGGGATTGCAGAGCCTTTTGCAGCACAAATAGGAAGTGGAGGAAGTGCGCTGGTGGTAGGAGGCAAGCACCTTGTCCCAGTCATAGAGGTTAGCCTTCAGCTTTGTCATGGCCGAAGCTGGCGGCATAGACAAGTAGTCAGCCCGGACATCCGAGCCTGTGGCATCAGAGTTGATTTGCGCTAAAGCTGCTGAGAAAGTGCCTCGACGAGTTACTCCCTTTGGGGCTGTTGCCTCAGCCTTCTTCTGCCTCTTCTTCAGAGCTGCTAGGGTGGCTAGGTCAGCGGTGCTGGGAGGGTTGTCACAGAGCTCCTCCACGCGATCTTCAATGTCCATGTCGTTGGACTTCCGAGGCTGGTAATACAGCACACGACAGCGGTACTGATAGATCTCGCTCTTCACATTCACAGCACCGCTTTCCAAAGCTGCCCATTTGTTGACAAAGTTCAATCGGCTGATTGAGGTCAGAACAAAAGCACTCACACAGGGCAGGACCAGCAAGCTCACTCTGAGCTCTTCCTTTTGCAAAGGTGAGTCTGGGTTCGCCGTGCTTTCGCGATACAAGATAGCAACCACGGTCACAACAACTGAAAGCACCAGGGCAGTGTACTGGAGGATTCTAGCTCTTCGTCGGAAAATCGCCGCGTTGTAGGCATAGAGCAAGTATTGTTCCCAAGCATATCGGAGACGATTTTCTTCGCTCTTGGCAAAGCCAATCTCCATCATTTCATCATCTTGGACCGTGGACAAAACGAGTGTCAGCTTGTTGATGACCTTTTCAACTGAATCCTTTGCTGGATTCAGGATCAAGAACTGGTCATCAGGTACATTTTCCGGCAGCTCATATCCATACATGAACTTCGAGTGTTCAGCATGCTGGGGCTGGCGTCTCCGGAGAACTGCAGCACCCAACATTTCAGCCGCACCTCCTGTGTTGTGAAGACACACGATGGGCACGCCTGTCACTGCCTCCATCAAGATCTTACCATCCACACCAGGTTGAATGAGAGCTTCATTTCCATTGGCAAAAATGGATGCCCGTGTAGCCAAAGAGCGGAGCTTGATTCTCAGTCTGTCCAGTGTTTGCTGACTCTGAACAAAAATAATGTGAGTAAGAGCATTGCAGAGGAAGCGTCTCGTGATTTGAGCACGTACTTCGAGCTCCAAGTCAGCAACACTCTTGGCACTCTTCCCTGCATCTTCTTCATCTGGATCTAAGCCCCGGAGATCCTGATCATTGGCCTTCGGATCGGAGCCAAGCTCGCGGAAACAATTGGCTGTTGACAGACGGGTACATCACTCGTTCCTTCAATTCTTCCTTCTTGTCAACAGGACCGGATGCGGGCACAGCTTGTGCACACTGGAGAAAGCTGTCCTTGAACTCCGTGTCCTGCAAAAAGCGCACACAGAACACCACGTTGTCGGTCTTGTGTCCTGCCAGGCATCCAAAGGCAGACCAATAGACCTTCAAGCCGTCCATCAAGACTTCGTTCAAGCCTCCTCTAGGTCCTGTGCCCAGATCAAACCATCCCCCACATTCGCTCACAGCTTGGCAAACACCTGATGAGATCTCTGACAGTCGGCTGGTAAACTTCTGTCTGAACTGCCAATCCTCTACGGCGCCGGTGGCCGTGGCCCAGGCCTCTCGGTTTCGAAGTGTTGGTGAATTAGCCCAGTTCACATAGTGATCCCTTCCGCCATAGCAAGATAGCAAAAGATTTGGAGGCTTCAAGCGCCATCCATCCTGACGGACGAACATCCAGCGCAAGAGTTCATCTGCACTCTCCATCTCTGGAGGAGCAATCACGTAATGAGCACGGTGACCACCAGTACCCAATCCACTGAACTCCACCTCCCCTCTGAGCAACTGCAGCTCTTTGGCAGACCGCTGGTTGATGCCGGACGCACTGCACGACAGCTGCATCTCGTTGATTTGTTCTTGGGCCCTTTCCTGTACCATTTTCTGGGTCTGGCCGCCAACACTGGACAATGCTTTCGAGTACTTTGGCTTTGGCTGCTTTGGAGTTACTTCCTCCAACAAGGCATCCAATTCAGTGCCACCATCTGGAACTCCCGGCATTGGATCAGTCGCACCGCCACCATCCGGCATGATGGTCACAAATTTTGCAGCTTCATCAGCTTCATCCATCGGTTCTGCCATGTTCTGCCACCACCACGCCTGCGCGGTGGGGGAGGGGTGAAGGAAACCTGGAGCGTGGAGGATCGTAGCAGGATGTTCGTGTTGAGTGGCTGCTTGCTGTGTCTCTGTTGATACAATCGGGATGTCCCTGTCTTAAACCCTGAGTGATGTATGTAATCCACTTCTGTTCGTACATTTCGTTGAGCCGTTAAACTGCCCGATAAGCTTCAAGATGTCAATCCAAAGATCAGTTGCATGTCTTGACTCCAGATATGGAGATGTTGACTCACACCGACAATGCATTTCTGTTTTCCAACTCTGCCAAGCTTTTCGGATTGCTCACGAACTGGGACTCGTGTGGCATGGAACATCCACGTCTATTCGAAGCTTCTCTCCCTCTCTGACACTTGTCACGTCTCATGAGTGACAGAGGGAAGAAACTCACGGAAGATCCAGTGGTGTTGATGCACCTTGTTGGGGCTTGCACAGACTTGCATTGCTGAGAGAGTTTGCAGCAGCACTTGTTGAAACACTTTTGAAATGCATTTTCCATGATTTTCCACTCACTGCCAGAAAAATTGCACCTGGCCAAGGGCCAGCGAGCTTTGACTCTTTGTCAAGTACCGACCAATCAATGAACATCCGTTCGAACTCGTTGGAATCCATGTTTGGAGAGACAAATAAGGCTGTGCGACAACCAATAGTCACGATGCTGTGGCTGAACCTGCTACAGCAAAGGTAACGCTAGCCCTGCAGACCGAGAGACGTGTGGGAAGTGGAAACGACATGTTTTGCCGGCGTCGGTTGTGTTGAGCGTCGTTTCTCAGTTCTTTCTTGGTCTCGGTTGCAATGGTTTTGGTCTTTTTGGGCTGATGTTGTGACAATATTTGCCCCATTTTGGCTGCTCACGGTCTGGTGGACAATTGCTGTTTGTACTGTCTCAACAAAAGCATGTCTTTAGTTTGATTGCGATTTGGGCATTATTCGGCGATGTTTGGGTGATTGAAGGTGTCTGAGTTTTGTTTTGGTTATGCCTTGCCCCTTCGTAAACTTGTTGGACTCTATTGTTGGTTGAACAGCCTGGCTATTTCTTTTGGGCTTTGACGTGTCAGAACTCGGAAAGAAAGACAGCTCCTGTTAGATTCTTGTTAATTAGCGAGGGGGGTCAATCTCCACGATGTGAAAAGAAGTCCGTCCGGCACCATCGCCAGTCGGAACCATCCGAAGGCGCCTGTCTTCTCGATTCTTTCACGTGAACAGCCTGGCAAGACTGAAGCTGACGGCTGACGGCTGACGCCCAAAAGGTCTGCCAAACCAGCCTTTACATTGGGTTTGTGGTCGCCGTCAGGGCCTTCCTCAGCCACTTGTCTCCTGATTCTGCCACATGTGGTGTGGCAAGCAAGCAAGGAGCAAGCCACTAAGTGTTGAACCCTTCTTGGTGCCGATGCCTGCGGCACTGTCAGCCACGTGGGCAATCGTCAGCTTAGACCGTGAGTGATCCTGAGGATGGAACAGCGTGATATTTATCTACATCCTGTGGTATGCATGGCGCAATATGTCAAGCAGTTTCAGTCCACATTCCGTGTCACTCCTTACTGTCCTTACTATATACCTTACCGCCCTAATCCGCCCTGTGTGCTCTCTGCAGGCTAGGCGACAAAAAAAGGCCACTGTGGCTGTCGTGCCCGATGTCCGCGCATACAATCTCTTGCGGCTTTCCGCTGCGGCCACCTGAATTCCAAGTAGGTTGGAGGCCATCGCTAGTAGATTGGAGGCCATTACTAGTAGGTCCACCTGAATTCAGAATCTTCGGATCCTGATCCTCCCTTTGTAAACCACGTGGGGAAGAGGAGCCAATAAAAACCACGTCGAGCAACAAGTCTCTGAGTCTTCTTGAATGCATCTGCCAAGCAGGAGCCGACTTCAGGAGCCTTTGACCAACAAAAAATAGAAGAAACACCCCGAGCCACGTTTCAATATATTCTCATCATTTCTCATCTTATTACTTTGTGCGGTTCATTCCCGCCGATGTTGCTCTTTGGCCAGTCGTGGTTGGGTTCCA